CCTCTTTGGTACACTATGACAAACTAAAACTAGTCACAAAGAATACAAAAGCACTGGCTGAAACCACTCAGACAACAGCCAGGCAATACTAAGAAATAAACACTCTAAATTCTGTCTAAACTAGTACAAGGGTATGCAACAACAGCGAGGTGAACTGATCACTGGTTCACAGCCGCCCTGAACTGTGGACACACAAGCTATTTAACTGCAGCTGGGGTTGATTGGAGACTCCCGATTGGTAGCTTCGGTCGAATCCCAGCCACACCCAGATGCCAGTGAACAGCAACCAGGAAGTAGGCGGTCTCAGCTCCAGAAGGACCAATCCTCAACAGGGAATCACACAGCTGAATTGCCAATACCACTCATGAGCACACCATGAATACACACTAAACGACAGCCAGCGGCCATAACATACGTCTCTCACAACAATTGCTGTGCAACTTGATCCTGGTGCTTGTGACACTAGTTTATTGTCAGCTTTGTTGTCCTTGTTTTTTGCTGTATGTCTATTTCTATTTTGGAACTGCGTGTAACACTGATGGAAACAAAAAATAAGTTCATTGTGCGTGTGCTTGGCCTGGTGAAGCTCATTCCTATGATAAAAATACTATTTAAAACAATAATATTTTTGTATAACTATTTTCCATGTCATTATTTGACAGGTATGCATGGACTGCACACATACACAGCCTGCACTGAAATCAAAATAGGCCTATTTGCCAGCACATACCTGGAAAAACCAACACGGAAATTTAAATGGTTTGCATAAACAAGAGCCTGTTTTCTACCCATTGTTATCTAAAGAAAAACATATCTGCAAACCTCAACACCTCGACTGTTCTCACCCGCATTGACTAAGCGTTTGTCATGTGTCAGAACATATCATATTTTCTATTGTGCAATTTGATCCTGGTGCTTGCAACACTGTAGTTTATTGTCAGAACAAAATAAAGATCTACAGTACAGTATGTCCTGAACATTATCAAAAAAAGTATTTTGGGGAAAGTGTGTTTTTTATATCTCATCACTCTTTTTTTTTTTACATTAGATATTTTCCTTGTACATTTTGAAGTCATTAGTTGCATCCTTTTTATTTGATACTGTACATAAGAATTCACAGGAAAAAAACCTCCCCTGATGGAGTCGAGATAGCCGAAAATGTTTTGTCATGATTTGTTAAATCATGACAAAACGGAGAAAAAGTTGTGTGATATGTCCTCATTCTTATGGACTGACAGTAAAGCTCCCACTAGTCTGTGTGTCTTCTGAAAGTAACTCAAATGTGTGTTTTTATCCATTTTTATGTTCCTGTTTAATGTTTGCTAATTTGCAACATAAAGTTTAGCTGAGGTTGATGAGAATGTCATAGTCTTGAAAGTACTGAAAAGTCTGGGGATCACCAAAATCAGTGGGATTCATCCTCTCAAAACATGAATGCCTAAACCATATTAGGCCAAACATAGACCTTTTTCACAGCAGCCATTTTGACATGTAGCAGTAGGGTACACAGGTGCTACCAATGATTTTAATTTGAAGTCGGTGTGTAACATTTAGTAGGCTCTATTGGCAGAAATTAAATGTAATATTCACATGTATGTTTTCATTAGCTGACTCCAGATAGGGCGTATCTGTAGTTTCTCCTTTATTTTATACTTAAAGCTTCTATGTTTATGTTTGGAAACTTGTGACTTTACTGACTCCTAGTTGTCAGAGGTATAAATATAAACTTCATAAATAAAATCTATGACATTCGAGTTATTCAATAGATGCTTCAGTTTTATGACAATTTTACAAACAAGAGCAATAAGACTAATTTAAAGTTTAAGAAGAAAAAGTTATTTTTGTTTTACAAAATGTATTTAATGCAAAAGTATATAGAGTCTTTTGTACACACCCAGAAAAAAAAACATAATTTTAAGCAAAAATAAATCAATTAAATACATTAAGGAATGTAAAAAGGTAAAAAACACAAAACAACACACAAGTGTGTTCCTGGTTTTAGAAAAGCAGTACATAACAGGAATAAATACCAAAAAGAGACCCACGCTCTGACACTTTTTGTACAAATATGTAAGAAAACATCTTTAAAAACAGAGTTGAAAAATTAATATAAACACCTCATGGGTATTGGCATTGATATCTGAAATAACTTAAAAACAATAACACACAATCCTTTACAGCTGTTTTATATTAAGCTCATTGCTAATTAGCAGCATTCATCAGCTGTAAATGAGGTCTCACAATCAACTAATATAATAATACCCACTGACAAAAGAAGCCAAATTATCTGCTCCCACACTGCAGATGCATTGGGTCAAAAAGGAAAAGCATTCAATGTCAAGGAGAATAGGGTGCACAATTATAAACCTCATTACAAACATTTATAGAGCATAAAAGGATCGATAAAGTGGGGATTATTAAATATATAAACACCACAATAACAGTATTAACTATTCCACACTTACTTTCAGGACCAGAGCATAGAGTGGTTTTTAAAACCTTGTTAAAAGCTTTCATTAGATTTTCGCATATTTCATTACAGGGCTTCCAAATTTCTTCACAGCAACTCAAGAAAACACATGCAAATGAATAAAGAACAAGCAAATGAAGAAGACATCTTCACCAAGCATAAAAAACACTGCAGTAACATCTGGAATTTTCATTCAAAACAAGTATTCAATATCCTTAATTTCCTGTACCTAAAAGTACAAATATAGAAGTACCAATACCACACTGTAAAAAATATTTCATTACAAGTAAAAGCCCTGCATTCAAAACCTTAATTAATATTACATTTGATTGCATTTTACTGCTGTAGTTGTTTAAAGTTGAGATAATTTGAACACATTTATATAGTGTAAACTATTTATATAGTGTAAACTACAGCAATGCATCATATTCTATAAGATCATCATGTGTTTGCGGCATTGCTGCCTTGTGAGAACCAAATATCTCTAAAAAGTCAACTTGAGCTCAGAGGTTTCTGAAGAACCCAGGAGGATTTTAAATAGTTTCTAGGAGAATTCATTAACCCATGAAGGCAAACTTAATCCTTCAGTTTGTAGCACTCCCTCATTCCTGATTACAGGGTTATTCAGATCACCTGTTGCAGGGTGTAAGGACTGACTCCTAAATAATGATTGAAAGCAGCTTGGTGCACCCCCCTCTTGGCCAAATCAGGGTGCAACCATGCCAATCCTTTAAGGCATAAGGGAGATGGAGAACTGCACACAGTTCTGCTTGCGACGATTACCTGCTGCCTACAGGCTTCAGTTTGGAACTACAACACAAAAGACATTTCTGGAGTGACACTACAAACCCATAAACTTGCCCAGGCTTATGAGTTGATGTCCACAACTTATCAATGGTGAAAATTAGCCAACAATGTGTATTTCAGTGTTAACAATTGTATTATTTATTCAAATACGTGTGCTTTTTAAAGTTGACATCTCTTGATCACTGATTTGGGGGATTTTAAAACATGACTACAACAGACATCAGTGTATCTTTTAAAAGAAGGATCTTCATCAACTGATGTGTGGACACAGCTGTGATGGGGTCATCTGCCACTAGATGTATAAAGACACTGTTTAGACCTTATTTACCAGTATGTGGTGTGCACCCAATTTAAATGTTCTCTTCAGAAAAATAAAATCCTAACAGATAAGGAAATGTGCATGGACTTTGCTATGTGAACAAGTGTGGCCTGAATCTCTCATTCAAAAATCTACAGTCCCTTCAGCAAACCTAGCCTCAACAGGACAGATAATCAGCGGGGCGGTGTTCTTCCCGTTATCATGAAGACAGGGGTTTAAGTATGGATATAGAGGCTCTGTGAAGGTACATCTGCTGTAAGTATAAATGTGAGTCTTTGCATCTGTGTCATAGAAGGACACCAACCCTTCTTCGTAGTTCAGGAAGACTCCCACTTTCTGAGGGTTTTCCTGGAGATGGAGAGTGACAGATGGGCCGGCGCAGGCACTGAGACTGCCACCTTTCCGCCGGCAGATCGCCCAGTAACCGTTGTCAGGACGCACTGTGATGAGACCCTTTCTGTTGATGGACTCCTTGGCCACGCCAAGATCCCAGTCGGTTTTATCTCCAACCTGAAACACAACATACAAAACTAGACATGCAGGAAAATGTATGATAAGGTCCAGTATCTGTTACTGTGAGTTTTTTCTTTCTTGGTTCAGATCCACATTGCCTAAACACAAGCTGAGCAAGGCCTGTGAACAAAAGAAGCACTGCAGGTCATACCTGGGGAAGAATGAAAAGTAAACATGGGAACAACTTATATCTTGTGCCCACTAATCAATCAAAAATGTTGCAAGAACTTTTATCTCGTTTCCATGGATTGATCAAAACATAGGAACAAAATGAAGTTTTATAACTAGGTTCGGGAACAAAGACCACGCCCCGAACTCATCTCATTTCCGTTCAATACATATTTAAGCACACCTTTTCCGTTCACTCCCTCCTTGACTAATTTTCTACAACGTCGGAACCGAAAGACGAAACGAAAGCAAAACCTAAAATCATGGACAACGAAATCATACTCAACCCGTCAGACAGCGAATTGTTTGACGACATCCCCGAGTCCTCTCCTTCACTTATCATCCCTCCTCGTCAGCCAGCCCGGACCCGCTCAACCATCCACGCTGTCAGGCGCTCCCAGCCTCCGTCCACCGACGGCTCCAACACCATCGGGCCTTCTCCCCCCCACCGCACCAGGGGAAGATCTCCGTGGTCCGCGTCCGAGCCGACCCACTTCATCCTCAGCACGACCCCGGCCTCCACCTCGCCGATCGTCCCTCGGCTCCAAACATCTCGGAGTGGACGGTCGTTCGCCTGAAGCGCACCCTCACCCAGCGGAACATAACCTTCCACCGCACCGACAATAAAGCGAAACTTTTCCAACTCTTCACGGACTCCCAGCAGAGCAGCACCCCACATCGCAGAACTCCACGACCACTTCCGGGTTCACAGCCTCGCGCCGAGCCCAGCCTCCTTCATCAGCCCTCCCAGAGGGCCAGGTTGTACTGAACCCAGAGCCTGCATTCTTGCTCTAATAATCTTCTTCCTTACCCCACACACTTCTCAAACAACCCGAGCACATGCATCCCTTCAATCCCCAGTATCCTTGTCCTTATCTAATTCCTAACTTCCCCTGTCCTCCTGTTTCGGCTACAATTCCAGGCTCTATTGCCTCAGCACACAGAGCGTGCCCACCAACAAGGCGGTCCACGGCACACATCTGTCCAGCCCAAGAACCATACTTTCTCTGTCTCCCTAATCCTAGCATCTCTTATTCTTCTCTTCCTAAAACCTTCCCCCTGTCCCACGTCCTCCGGCCTACCATTACCCCCTTCCAACTTAACTGCCTCAGCCGCACAGAGCCACCCCACTACAACGGTCCTCGGCATCACCACCCAGCCAAAACCCTTACTTTCCTCCTGTCATCTTCTTTTCGGTCATCACCTCATCCAAGGATTCAAAAACGGATTTCACCCAGGTTTACAAGTCATACCAGATTCCTCTCACACATGCCACAACCTGCAGTCTGCCACCTCCCAGCCCGACATAGTCGACAAACTCTTGGACCAAGAAATCAAAGATAGATTCATGATCGGTCCATTCTCCAATCCACCGTTCAGTCCATTTAGAATCAGTCCAATCGGCATCGCCACCAGGAAATATTCAGGAAAAAAGAGACTCATCATAGACCTCTCATCCCCCCACAGCTCCCCAGTCCCAAGCATCAACAGCTTAATCCCCAGCCCAGACCTTTCCATGCGCTATGCAACAATAGATCACGCCATCTCCCTCATCAGTACAGCCGGCCAAGGAGCATGGTTGGCTAAAGCAGACATCACCAGCGCATTCAAAGTCCTTCCCATCCACCCAGACTTCTGGCATCTCTTCGGCATTCAGTGGAAGGGCGCATACTACTTCGCTGTGCACCTTACCTTTGGGTGCAAAAGCAGCCCAAAAATATTTGATACTTTATTCGAAGCACTCTGCTGGATCTTGTTGAACAAATACAGACTGCCCTACATCGTTCACCTCCTAGACGACTTCCTTACAGTCACGCCATCCTCTATTCCCCCGCCACACAGTCTCAATACCATGATCTCCGCTTTCAATGAGTCCCTCTCTCCCCGGAGAAAACTGAGGGCCCCAGCACATCCCTGGAATTCCTTGGCATTACTCTCAACTCCATTTCACTACAAGCATCCCTGCCCACCGAAAAGTACACCGGATTTCTTTAATCATTTCAAATTTCCTCCTGGCTCACAAATGCACCAAACGTCAACTTCTCTCGCTGCTTGGCCACCTCAACTACGCAATCCGCATCATCCCCCAAGGTCGATCCTTTTTGTCACACCTGCTTTCCATAGCCTCCTCTGTCCCATCTCTCCGTCGACAACGCATGCAAAATGGAGCTCAAACTATGGCACCAGTTCCTCTCATCTTGGAACGGCAAAACCTGGTTTCCATTTCTCAAGATGCCATTCTGAACAGCGTCGCTCCCCGTACACTTTCATCATACATGACCGGATGGAATTGCTTTAAAACCTTCCATGCCTCCCATAATCTTCTGTTCCCTTCGCTCGACGTCTTGACACTGTCTAGCTTCATCTCATTCGCCCATTCCATCCTGAAGATTAAATCTACCACCATCCAAGCCTACATAAGCGGTAACTTTTTCATCAAACTATCCTCTGGGGCACCATGCCAAGCCACTTCCCATTCTCACATCACCATGTTAATCAAAGGTCTCCGCAAGACAGAAGTTCATACTTCTCCAAAACGTTCGCCCCTAACCTCAGATCTCCTCATCCGCTGCATCAGAACCCTCAGCTCACGCTATTCATCAACATGTCGACAAGGTCCTAGAATCGATGTTCCTCCTAGCTTTCTTCGGCTTTCTGCGCTGCTCTGAATTCACAGCTTCTACCTCCAAATACAATCCATCTTGCCACGCATCCATTTCCGACATTTCCATTCAGTCCACCGACACCCTTATTTACCACCTTAAATGCAGCAAGACCAACCAGTCCGGTCTACCTCAACCCATCTACCTCTTCCGTCTAGACTCGTACATAAGTCCCTTCGAACCAATACAAGAATACATCAACTCTAGGCTAGCCAGCAGAGCTTCCCCCCAGGACCCCCTGTTCATCACAGAAACAGGAAAAGTAGCCACACGTCACTGGTTCCACCGTCACTTCCGCCAAATCCTGTCTCAATCAGGAATATCCCCAGAACCGTACTCGGGGCACTCTTTCCACATCGGAGCCGCCTCCTCCCCTTCCAAGCAGGGGATCTCAGATAACATCATCAAAATCCTCAGCCAATGGTTTTCTCCTGCTTATCTCACATACATTCGCAATGACCTAAACAACATCAAAAACGCTCATGCGCACCTGTCTTGCTTAAGTTTCTTTGGGGGCTCACGAAGAGATAAGAGACGGTTCCCCCACTCAGCGTCTCAACACCCACTCTGTTCCTCCTGACCATCTCGCCAAACTCCTCCCTCCATCCACCTACCCTACCAGCTTTTCTCCCTTTCTATCAACCTTCATGAACTTCATGTGTTAGAAGCAGGAAAAATGTGCAGCCTGAGGATTTGAGTGACTTTGACATGGCTAGATGACTGGGTCAGAGCATCTCCAAAACTGCAGGTCATGTGGGGTGTTCCCGGTCTGCAAAGGTCAGTACCTATCAAAAGTGCTACAAGGAAGGAAAAGCAGTGAAC